AAACGAGCACTCCTGCACCACCGTAACGGTGTCGTTCAATGATGTTTTCTTGGTGGTAACGGGTACCTGGAGCTCTCTGGTGGAGTACCTGGAGCTCCATATGAAAGTCCGGCGAGAATCAGACTGCAAGCTAAACCTGGACTCGTCGGAAAACATCACACACTGTTGCTGTGTCCACAATGCATGCTCTCTACTCCACGCTAACCGCAGGCGACAGTGAGTTGCAGTAAGTGGAACGCATCTGACAGGTCTACGAGCATATAGACCAATCTGCCCTAAGCGTCTGTAAACGGTCTGCCTTAAAATTGTCTTACCAGTGGCTGAAGAGAGCTGTCGAGACAGGTCTGAGGCTGTGTTCCGCCTGTTTCTTTTGGCAGTAACTGCCAAATACCGGTCCTCATTTGGCGTTGTAACTCTCGGCGACCTGTGCTGTAACGTGTACTCACATTACCATCATCTTGGAATCGTTGCCAAAGCCTGGAGATGGCACTCTGGGCAATTTCAAGTTCGTCTGATACTTCCAGTTGAGTACGCCCACATTCCAGACGGCCGATAATTCTACCACGTAAAAAATCATCCAAATGCGTCCTTTGTGTCATAACTATTCGGTTATTGCACTAAAATGCTTATAAAGCGCCTGCGAACAATTTTACTTCTTTGTCTGTATTCCTTGTATATCACTCTCTTACACTCTCGTCGTTGTGACGTACCATCGGTGTCATCTTGTTACTTCCTGAAATTTGCATATGATTCTTGAAGATGTGTGTAGTGATTTTACAGGTGATATATTTATTTTAGAGTTCGATTTCCGAGTGACTCCGAATTATCCTTAATTTATGGACATGAGTGTACTTAACCATCAGCTAATTTTCAACGTGGAGAAAATTTTCTAAACATAGCAAATGCGTTTTTTAGGCTAGTTACTTCAAAAAAATAATGAATACGATAGAAAAGAAACTTTTAAACTTTGTTGGAGATTTCTCTCCAGCCCTTCGGTTAAAAAAAAGACTGGTGTATGGAAAAAATGTTGGTAGTCGTATAAACGTACAATTTGTGAAATGAATATGAAAAAGCAGAACGAAAATATCGTATACATAATTTTGAGTGGATGAATATAGTTTCGCCAGCAAAACTTTAGCATCGAATAGCATCTGTTCGAAAAGATACATGTTTTGCGAAGAACAAATTGAATATGTGTGGTGTTTTATGAGTTATGTGTATGTGGTAGACAAAAGATTTTATATGGTTTACGTTAAGGATGGCTAAAAAGACTGACAGGTTGGAAGAGTTTTTGTAGAGAAATGTGCATAGATTTATGTTTGAAAGAGAATGTAATGTTAGGTGAGAAGGTATAATCGTGGAAATAGAAGGAAAGTAAATTTCGTAAGAAAAAATATCAAAGAGGGAAAAGAGTGGAAGTCAAATGTGTGTTTGTGTGAGGGGGCGGATAAGTGTATGTTTAGGAGGATTGTAAACAGGGGAGGCAAGTCATTTTTGAAATAATGAAAGTAAATGTTCTGCTCGCATTTGTGACTATCGACTTTTGGGACGCTTTCAGCTGCCTAAAGGGCAAACGATACAAGAATCAGCATTTGAATGTGATAAACAGTTTACATTTCGAAGATTCGGATACAAGTACATTTTGAAAAAGCAGAGGATTGCAGGTAAATTTCTCTTTTTCATTGGCTAAAGCGAAATACCAAGCGCAAGCTAAATTTCATGATTTCGTTGTTGGCTAATGATTTTATTGTAGTAACTCGACTTTCATTGTAGGGTCATTATTCTGGAAATATTTTTCGTCTTTTAGCTTGAATTATGGGGTATTTCTCTCTCGGCCTCTTGTTCTGTACTTCTGATTGCTAGCCTGGCTCTGATGCTTCTCGGTTTTTGCCATAAATCATAATTATTGTCGGAGCGCTCTGGAGCCCTAAAGAAGATGAGTGTCAGCACTTCTCTTTATAAAAACTAAAATATAGTTCCAGAAGGAAATTATCTGATTTTTTTACGTTTTATTTCAACAATAGATAACATTTAGAATGCTTTATTTTCTAGGAAACTAACATGAGCAGAAGTTGAGACAGTTAAAGGAAAGCTTCCCCCGCTCACATGTTTGATTACTTGCCTTTCAATGTTTGGTTATTTGTATCTATTTCTTTAAGTGTGTGGGGGGAGAGGGAGAATTTTAGGCTTTAAGTACACTATTTTCCTTTACTGCTCAACTTCCACCGACTGAAAGTAAACATCACCGAAATTTGGTTTACCCTGTAAAAAACTCAATAAATTTACGACAACTTATTTGGAACGGGTAATTGACATTGTATCTAGTGTTTTGGTATTGGCGATTGCGATTATTAATCTCCACAGGATAGGACATTTTTGTTTTTATGTGCGCATCAAGTGACATCGAGCATAATATAGTGAAATACTGGGATAAACTGTTCAGACAAGTCCAATACTATTGTCCTCCTTCAATAAAAAATATGGGGGACGAAAATCGCAACCAAATTTCATTGAATGAAATATGTGCCATTTTTATTTTATGACTTTTTTCCATATCTTCCGTAACTGGAGAATTCCTTTTTAAAAATGTCGTTAGGGGTTTATTCATTAAGAAGTTATCAAGATGTTGTTTGATAGTTTCCTAAGAAGTGAGCTCCAGCCGTTCTGAGAGTTCCGAAGTGACTTAAAGTGTTCTTGATTTGATGAGTTTTGATACCGACTCATGAAACGAAGTGAATAGTAATCAGTAATCGTTTCCAAAAGAACGATACTTTTATTGTAAGATGATATGGAATGCGATCTAATCTCTAGCACAAAACAGTGTGAAGAAAATCCTGTAGAAAGATGAAAGTTCATAGACCAACTGCTTTACAAATTATGCATCTGTTGACATTATGACGCTTTGCAAGGTAATGATAATGAAAAAACCATGGAGAAGATATTGAAAATTAGGAAAAAATGCAACAAATTATTGTCGTGCATGTTTTTTAGAAAGAGAAAACTATTCGTCATGAAGTATGAAATAGAAAACTGAGTGTTTAAAGCTTTCAAAAAATTAATAATGAAATTCAGACAGTGAAAGTTTTGGAAATATAAAGCAGGCTTTTTTAATACCATATTTGTTTCCGAATAAATATTTTTTAATTGTTTTTCCCCACTATGAATTCTGTATTCTAGTTCTCTTTTACTGTTATCTTTGTTGATGTCTTCAATCAGGAGTAAGGACGAAAAGTTTTTTCGTGTTTTGCTGCGTATTTGTATCTGTCCCTGTTTAAAAAATAATTCAAATTTAGTAAATTTTTATCACTTTTTAAGGATGATTCGTGATATCGCGATTCGATTGTATAGAATCTTAGCGTCAATATGTATTGCAGCCCCTTTTCACATCAGCTGTTTTTATGTAAACATGCACATTAATTTTTAAATTAATTTGAGTCTTTCAATAACAAATGACAGATAAGAAAGTAATCAACTCCTTATTGAGAGAATTTAATTGTCAACGAAAGTGAAAATTTCATGCATTGGTCTTGTTTATGTTACAGATAAATAATTTATATTTCCATTGCAGTAAAAATTCCTAATAGATACACTAATGAATATCGATATATATATATTTTCTTGCTTTAATTTTGGTGATAGCAAGACCCAAATTAATACGCTTTTGGTTTTAAGTTAAAAGTTTTTTCCTTCTTTTTCAAAGTTTAAACTCTTTAAGCTAGCAGGTCCTCCCTAAAATTCATGTATTAATTGACTAATAGAAATTCGCTATTTATTTTATTTTGTACATTTGCCTAATTAGGCTAGTTAGTATAGTTTTCTTTTCTTACACCATTAATGTGCTTCTCATTTACTTTAACCAGCGGACGCATCGGGAAATGAAGCAGAGAAATTGAGACTTAAGTTTTAATAGGTTTTTTGTCGGTTAAATAGTCAAAAAGTTATTTCGTGATAAGTATCAATTCTTCTGTTTTAACGAAACGCGATATGGAATTAGTTGGATTCAAAGATGCATTTTCCCTGAAGAGTCCGTAATGAGATTCGAATTAGGATAATTTACCATTTACCGTTTCTTTGTATTTTTGCTTATGTCTTAAATAACTTTTGTGTTTGTGTTAAAATGTTTTAGGTTTGTTTAAACTTTAATCAACTTTTTAAACTTCCAATTTGATTTGAGTTTTACATTCACTTTTTATTTGTCAGTTTTTTTTGTAATAATTTCATTTTTCTTGTATTTAAACTTTTAATTTGCAATTTATTTTAACTTAGTATTAAAAACTGTTCATTGGAACTACAGTATCACATTTGCTTTAAAGCAATAGCATGAAGAATTTCCTTTTTACCTTGTTTTCTAATTTTGCAGCTGAATGCGCAAAATTCTTGACCGCACAGGCTCTTTTTCAGTTTGTTCTCCTTTCTTAAATTATATATATATATATATATATAATAACCAAAACTGCATGGAATATATATATCTATATATAATAACCAAAACTGCATGGAAACGGAGGCTGTAGCCTTTTTGTATTTAATTGTAAAAATCAGATTCAATTAATATTGATTGTACAAATAAGATTGTAAAATAAGATTAATTGTACAAATCAGATTCAATTAAAAGTAAGCAATTTTTATCCTTGTAACATAGTTTAAGCAATGTACAGTGTGTGTATGTAATTATGGCAAAGCCTCGAGGGCTATCTGCCTAAGAGGAGGGATGCCTTCGTGGAGGACTTTCTAAGGGAAACTGGCTCGTATACACGTTACACATGGGGAAAACCACGAAAACGCCCATGCAGCCAGCCCGTTCGCGGGATTCGAACCTCGGACCGAACTACCAGTGTTCAGCGACGTTACCGCTCGGCCGCTGGTGGGCCCTTAAGGAATGTACAATTTTCTGCAATTTAAATTAGTCTAAACTTCTTTATTAATCTTTTTAATAAAGAATTTTTTAAAATAATTAACAATTTACGACCACTAACATTGATAAAACAATTAATAACTTCAGCATTATTTGAAAACTTTACTACAAAAAAATATTAATACAGAACTTTTCAACGCTAATACTTATCAACTTACTACTACAGCAGAGATGTCTCTGACTGAGGTACCTCAGTAATAAACAAAATTAAAGCCTTTCACAAAATACTCAAACTTTCTATAGAACCCAATTATAACAGATTCGTTAACCTTTATGCTTTAAGTTCCAAAAAACACCGCTTAAATTCAGATTCATTCCGAATGGCACAAATAACTAAAAGAAAAATATTGGCTAAATTTTTTTGCATTGCAGCTTAAAAAAATTTGTAAATATTCGCTTCTAGTAACACGGAACATAATTATTGCTGGATTATCAATAACAAACTACCTGTTATTCAAGCCATTCAGTCTCTTAATATACAAAATATCAACTTCAAAGATTTTGAAAAATTATATACTTTTCTTCCCTCAGAAGAAATATGATTATATAATAACCTTCTTACTCTGCCAGAACGTTTTCCTAATACGCTGACTATACTTTAATAAATGGAAGACATTCCTTAATTGCACTAATTTTAATAACTTCATTAAGTTTGAAAATCAACTTTTTAAACAAGTAAAATTAATACCAATGGGAGCTTATATGTATTCTAGTCTGTGTAATCTATTTTTATTTATTGCAGGATTTATATTCCAAAAATCTTTACAACAAGATGATTAAATTTTCTATTCTCTTACTTACAGAGACATAGATGATCTAATTACTTTTAGTAATTTCAACAAAATAGAAAACTTTCAAATTTATCCAGATAACTTAAAACTCAATAAAACTAATTCTTCACTAAAAGTTTTAGATTATCTAGATCTTCAAATACTCAACTACAGTTAGGCGCACTACTCTTTGACAAAATTCGTGGCTTTAAATTTGTAAATTAATTAATTGGACTTCCAACATTTACAAAAAGTAATTAGTAACATAACAATGAATCAAATACTACACATTAAAAATATTTTAGATACACTATGTGTTCAAAACGAAATTTTACTAATTAAAGTTCTTAAAAATAAAAATAAAGTGCCAAATCAATTTATTAATTTTTGTCTTAAAAAAGCAGGAGTTAAATACTCAATCTAATCATTTTACTGGTAGAATTATGATAATAGTTTCCTAAACTTTCAAAAGAAGGATTCTATTGAAAGTCTGTCAGTTTAAGGATTTGTAAATTTTGTAATTACTCCTGTAATTATTGTATATGATGTAAAATACTAATTTCTGCTAACATTTTCTGCTTTTACTACAAAACGGGCCGATTTCAATTTAAAGTTTTGCAGCCAATTTTAACTAAATCAGACAAATTCTCTCGACAAATTTATGGTAGCCCTGATACGAACTAATTTTTCCGCTTTCTGAACACTGGTAGTTCCGACCTGGTTCGATTCCAAGCCAAGGGACTGGCTGCAGGTGCATTTTTGTGATTTTCAAAATGCATAACGTGTATACGAGCCGGTTTCCTTCAGAAAGTCCTCCGCGAAGGCATCCCTCAGACATATAGCCCTTGTGTGTTTTGGCATAATAAACTAAACCAAATCAAATCAAATCGTTATAGATTAAGTAAGTTGCTTGTTACAGTTCCTTTTGTGATAGTCAACTAATCTGCCTTCCATCCATGGATCATCTGTGAAAACTCCTAGGCTTGATGGATCAATCTGAAATCTCTGAAAGCTTGATGGATCAACGAACAATGAAGCTAACTGGAAGTACTGAAAAAGGTTTAAAAAAAAAATACTGGAACATAAACAATTCAGGGATTTTTAGATTGATGAAGTTCAAGTGAAAAGGTGACATAGAAAGGGAAAAAAAATTAATTGGTTTTCCTGAGAATCTTGAAAGTATTGAAGCAACATCTATCCAGTCTTTTACGATTTCTTCTTTCCATAAAGATTCATTTATTCAGATCATAAAGATATTTTTGCATTAGTAATCATTCGCCTGCTGTAATATTGCCAAAAGTATGCTTTATTCAATTTATGTTGGCAAATGCCAAGAGGATTTTATGAAATTTTAATTTTTCTGCGACTTTTGATTTCGTGTTCTTTTTGTTAGATAATAACTGAAATGAATAAAAAACACATCTGCATACTTTTTGAAAGCTCTGAAGTATTTATAGTTTTAAAGCATTGGATATATTACTGATCGCTCGTTCAAGTTATTCTTAAAATTAAAAACAGCAATAATTATTAATTATTAATAAATAATTATATTGTGATAAGATAATAAAAATTGTTTTCATGTCTTTTAATTGATTAAATAGTGTCTATATTTTGTCAGTTTAGTGTTTATATTTTGTCATTATTTATATTTTAGAATCTTTTCATTCTTTTCCTTCACGTCTGCGAAATTAAACCTCAAAATTTGGGATCAGTGAAATCAACAGTAAATTTTGTAAATATATTTTCCGGAGTATTTATTAAAGAATTTTATTTTAGCATTTAGTGGAAGTAAAAATAATTAAACTATAAAGATTTACTTATGTTAATAAATAGCAACCTTTATTTATTTATTTATTTTTAAATTTTGATTTTCAGCAAATCCTAAAAAGTCATTACTATGCAGTATAAAAATAATTGTACAAAATGTTGTAAAACATTGGATAGAAAATTTCATGAATATTCCTTAAGATAATACCTATTAAACTATCAATCTTAACTGTAAATGAATAAACTTCCTTTTATATACTTAAGCCCGTAAGCCTATTACTATGCATTATTTAAAACAAAAGAATCTATAAACATCTAACGAAACGCGCATCTTCAAACCTGCAGCAAAGTCACGGAAGACTCAGACGCCTTCCGTGACGTCACTCTGTAGCTAACCAGGCCGTGCCTAAATATTCAAATTTTGCAAACATGTAACTTTAATTCATTTTTGGCCTTTTTAATGTATTATAATTATATTGCTTTTAAAAATACTTACATTTTTGCTTTTTTATTTTATTTTAGTCTATTAAGAATGTATTACTTGTTTAGTCTAATATTAATTTTTACACTGTTTTAATTCTTTTTATGTTTATTTTATTTAATTTTTGCATTGTTTTACTATGTTCTGAGGCGAAAGTGTCGGGAAATAGTCTTTAATGCAAGAAACATCGAAATCTTTACTTGAATATTTATTTCAGTTTAGTTCTTGACTTGTACTTTGAATAAATTTGGCAAACTTCTGAATAGTTATTCTTTCATCCAATTAAGATTTGTACTTAATGTGCACTTTGAAAACGTTTTGAGTCAATACCTTACTGGCTTGGGGTTTTACATTTTTTCATATAAAGACGACGAAACGCTTTCGCTTCTATTAATTATTTTTAATTGATCAAAATTGGTTTGTTCCTCTTGATAAGTCAATTAATTTTCATTGAATAGCAATAATTGTTTCATGTTTTAACATTCATTTTCCTGTTTTCATAATTTTACTTTTAGTTAAAACAATTTTTTACTTCCTCAAGACAATAACTGAATTTTTACTAAACTAGCATTAAATTTCACATTCTTAATCTTTATTTTCCTAACGGATAATCCAATAACTCTTCTTATAAATATTAATAATTGCCTAATAAAATATATAACTTATAAATATGAATAACTGTAATAATAATCCAATAACTGTTGTTATAAATAAATATATATATATATATATATATATATATATATTCTGATGTATTTTCTGATTATTCATTAGCAGTCGTAGAGAAGTTTCACTCTCTTAATGTCATCTGAAGATAGGCCTTTCTTGTAATAGACTTCAGGCATTTCACGGCCATTAAGGGCTTCCATGGTTTTGAGAAAAAAAGGTTCTTTACTGAATGCATAGCTGCCATACAGCATGACAGAGTCGAAATCGAAGTCAGTAAGCCGTCGCTCCTCGTGTGGCATCAACGGTTCGAAAGAATCTTCATATCCTACAATATGAATATTAATAAATGTTCAATTGTTCAGACAGTCTAAATGTTATGTGCTATAGAAGATAAGTGCTTTTATAGAGAATATGTGCTAAGATATGTGCTTTTATAGAGAATATGTGCTAAGATATGTGCTTTTATAGAGAATAAGTGCTTTTATAGAGGAAAGTTTATCGAAATTATTTTATCATATAATAAACTTTTCCTTTCTTTATATCTAATTTTTCTATATACACCAATGTTTCTGATATTTTATTGCTCTATTAACCTATTGTCATCTCGGGTTAAAATGCTGTTCTCACAATTTGTTTTTAAATATTTTATTTTATTAAAGTGGTGCATTACAACATTAATCGAAAATTTAAGATTTTATTATAATACGTTATAAGTGTGAGCATAAATTTAAGGTTTGTTATGTTTAATAAACATGTAGTGATTATATACAGTGATCCCTTTTTTTCAGAAGATCATCCATAGTTCTGTATGATTCTGTTCTTTTATGGAGGTCTTCATCTTAGAGAGATGACTGAAATAAGTTTATTTTGTAATAAATAACTTTTTAAATCTCAACATGTCAGTAGTTTTCAACCTTTATTGTTTCACCACTTTTCACCCTTGAAATACTTACGATGGAAATCAAAAGAGCATTCACTGTTTCTATTGATTTCTCTATATTTTACATTATGATTAAAATATAATTTTATTCAACCATTTCGGGTAGTAATTCTTAGCTCTGCTTAGCTCTTCTTTACTTGAGCTTTTGTTGTCAGTTCTTTTGAAGTTGAACTGAACTTTTTCATGGATTCCATACAAACTAAGAGCCCTTGATGCATGTACGGAATAAATGTCTTTTGCCAAGAAAATTTTAGCTAAACAATTAATTATACAGTAAACTTTCGTTAACACAAATCCCAAAGGACCGAAAAAGCATGAGTTCGTGTTAAAAAAGTTCGTATTGATAGGAGACTCAAATTTTATTTTTGGAATAGTTTTTTCTACAAGTTAAACATTTAAACAATATAGGTACATTCGTAACTCCAGCAGTATATTATGTATGTCGTCTTAGAAAACACTATAGTACTACATTAAATACTCTGATAGAACTTGAAAAACTGTAGTTACTGATCATTTTCCGGCAAAAAATTTCTGTATACTGAGCTATCGCAGAGGGAACGAAAATGCCTCGTAACTTCATGGCCAACAGTACTCGGTTTTTTTCTGAAGCAATCGGTTAGTTTGGATGTTAAAGCAAAACATTCTAAAGTGCCCAAGACGTTTCCTGGCGGGTGGAAGGAATCATATTGTCCTTTTCATCTTCTACTGAAGACGTTTCTTGCACTTCAGACACAACTAATTTCATTAGAGCACACACGATTACATCGTCACCTGCACTAACAAACTCCTCAAAACTAACACAGGGTTCGCAACATCGTAATTAAGAACTGTTCAAGAATTAACATTAGTCGTATTAGATTTTAAAGAATAAAAAAGCACATCTGAATCCAGAATTGCACTTGTTGGTTGGAGTTCGTTGTTGAACGATGATCGCGAATGACGAGCAGTGTTACTCATGCTGGCTGTGCTTTAAAAGATACAGCGTATTATGTGATGTTTTCAATCAAAAGTGACAGAACGTTTCTGAACACAGCCCTAGCAAAGAAACAACATAAAAAAATGTAAATAACTTTAAAAGTTTGTGTTAGATAAAAAAATTTTATGAGGCAGTGAACTAAAAACGGCGTGCGATTGATAACAGAAATTCGCGCTAGCTGATAAAACTTCCTATGAAATGAGGTCTAGTATAAGTACTGCTCCTGTCGCGAAATGAGGTACATCTGCGGCGATTTCTGATTTACGATCCGCTTCAGGGCATTTCAAGACCGAGGCTTGTACTAATGAGGCTTTAAGTTTTCAAAAGCAGTGTTTGCTGTCGCCCACTAAATGAATCTAGGCCTTTTTGATTTTAATTAAGTGTTCTACCACGGCAGCAAAATCTTTAATGAATGTTATTTAATAAGAGCATAAGATAACGCACATAACCGCTGAGATCAAACTTTTTTTCATGTTAACCGAATGTCCGCCTAAAGCCAGTTCGTGTTAAGAGAGAGATTACTGTATTACTAATGACGTGTCTCAGCGTAGTTTGAGCTTTTGTATATTATAAGCTATTTTAGAAACCGAAGAATATATCTAAATAGATATAACAAAAAAGATGATAGTAATATTGAACTGGCTAAGTGGAAAATATATATACCAGACTAAATGAATAACTACAGCAGTATCCATTGGTTCACATAGAAACACTTTAAACACACTAAACACATAAAACACACTAGACTAGAAATTTTCAGAATGTTCTAACAACTTTTATCAGTAATATCAAACAACTTTCTATACCTCTCCGTCTAGTATAAATACTGTTCCTGTCGCGAAATGAGGTACATCTGCGGCGATTTCTGATTTACGATCCGCTTCAGGGCATTTCAAGACCGAGGCTTGTACTAATGAGGCTTTAAGTTTTCAAAAGCAGTGTTTGCTGTCGCCGACTAAATGAATCTAGGCCTTTTTGAATTTAATTAAGTGTTCTACCACGGCAGCAAAATCTTTAATGAATGTTATTTAATAAGAGCATAAGCCAAAAATGATGCCTTTTTCCCCCTGTGTTAGGTGGGATAATTGTTGATAACTGCAATTTTCGAATCCTCCGTTTTTACTCCTTGCTCAGGTATCTTATGACTCAGGTATCGAAGTTCTTCGACTTCGAATTTACATTTTGTCGCATTCATTTTTAAACCTGCTTTCTTTAGAAGACAGCAAACTTAGTGTAAATTCTAAATGTGTCCATCAATTGTATTGCTTGTGACTATTATGCTATTTAGGTATATGAATGTTGATTCACCAATTACAGGCCTTAGGATTATGCCAATAGCTCTTAGAAATACAGCGGAGTTCCACAATTCTAAGGAAGGCATAAACCCGTGATTCGGTAATAAATGCAGTTTTTGGCACGTCTGCCAGTTTCTCACATATTTGAAAATATCAAATGTGAAGTCTAATGTGATCATAACTTTTGTAGATTTGATTTTCCTGATTATTTATTCATTGGTAAGGGGTAAATCGGGTATTTCCTTCCTATTTTGAGATTTATTTTGGCGATCGCCGCTCGCGGACGAAATATAGTGCGGATTATTAGAACTTTTCCTACCGTCAAATTTAAAACCTCTTTCGGCTATGGGCTTCCAAAAATTTTCGTTTTCCATCTTATTCTATATACGCAATATGCCGACTTTCAAATTTCAGAGCCAACTCAAAATGCTGTTCTAGCTCACATGGGTTTTTTAGCTCCAGAATATCTTAAATCCGTTTCTGCAACCCCGATAGTATTATCTGAATAATTTCTGCTTCGGATTTCTTTCCATATAACAAATTCACCACCCCACATTTCTTAAAATAAAATCCGTTAACTCATCTAGTTTAGTCTGGCATTTACCATAAAGTTCAGATTCTAATTTGGCCCTAACATTCTCCATGGGGAACACTTTCAGAAGAAAGTTTCAAGCATTTTAAACTTACAGTTATCACCGCTTGCCTTACCTAGTAAATACTTCCAAATACCTTTATACTACTTCTGGGCTTAACCTAGCAGCGCAACGCTTGTTGCGTCCACTTTTTGCAATTTTCAATTAGGGTACAATAAAAAATGAGTTTCTAAGTTTTCTAAAAACATCAGGAGCGAATTTCTACCGTCGAAAATACTCGGTGGTTTCATTGAAGCACTCTGGTGTCCATATTAAAGTCAGTTTCTTCCATCGGACTTGCTGGTTCTACAGGAACTTGGGGGTCAGGCTCAATCTTGCGTTGCCTTGCGATATAAGTACGTGATAATTTGTGTTTAAGTGCTGTAGATCTCCCTTAAACTGCTAGGAAGTTATCGCTGAGTCTGAAACAATCACAAAACCAGAAGGTTAAAATAACCTTTTTATTGAATTTTAAAGTAAACAGAAAAACACAGCTTGTGCTAAAACGAACATCCGGTAGCTTGTAGGTATCTAAATTTGCATAATGGAAGATCAAGTTTAAAATGTAGATACCGTAGTCGGAGATTGTAAGTAAAATATACTAATTAAGCTGGTTCAGATATTTATCGGCGCGTGTATTAAATGTCGGGTAGCAAGACCCTGGAAACAAATTAAGCCGAATTAGGAATTGGGCAGAGTTAGCGATGTTAAATAACAGCCAGATGCGGCCGCCAGAAACTCTAATGTAAACAGCCAAAACTCTCCGCTTAAATGCGCACAAAACAACTAATTTTATGCTAGCGAAGTCTACGGAAAAGTTATAGTAAAGGCTTAAATTACAATAATTGGTTAATTGATTTGAAATGCCTTAAAACTGTATACTTCAAATACGGATATTGACATCTAAATACTGAATTCTTAGATTGATATTTCTTTGAAATAATTTTAATATATATAATTAAACATTAAATAAATTACTTTAATTTAAATTAAAATAATAATAAAAAAAATTTATGAAAACATTCTAAGTTTTCAGAAAATTTTTTCCAAGTATTGTGAAACTTGAGAATAAATAATGACAACCTAAAGCCTTTTTCATATTTACTAAATTTTTCTTTCACGCATAAATAATATATATATATATATATATGTTTTGTAAATACCCTTCTTTTATTGGTTACTATAGCTTGACACTTGATGGCGCTTCGGTTCTAAAAATGTTTGTAGCATTACTGAGAAATTAGTAGAAATTATTTTCATGATCATTCAGTCGGGTTCCTCTCTTATTAATTTTCGTGCGTGGAAGAATATTCACATATAAATGTATTCCTAAACAAAACGAATATTCTTAGTGCAAAAATTCGTAACTGAGCTTTTCTGTTTTTTAATAAGTGCGAATAAAAAGTCATAAGGTATTTCTCCCGCCATCTTGGCATGTCTTGGCATGTGGTGTGGTGGTCTGCACGCTGGGCGCGTATTCCA